TCCTGACACCAAAAGGTTCGTCAGTCAAGGGCAAATTGAGGCCTGAAACTACCTGCCCGCACTGTGAGTCAGATGTCTTAGAAAACAGTCTCCACCGGAGCCTCCCAGGGCTCAGCAAGCTTCGGCTGAAGCTGAGCAGAAAGGGTAGCAGCTCGCATTGGAACACGAGCTGCTGATACTGCACTTTAGCAACCCACTGGCTTGCAGTCTTTGGCGCGCTTTGCAGACCCACGAGAAAGCGACGCCTTCAGCAAGGAGCACTGCTCCGAGACCGCACTGGGGTTGCAAACGGGGAATTTGCCATTTGAGGCACCATCGATGGTTGCATCCAACTGCTGCCTGGGATGAATGGACGCTGTCGCAGCGGTCCGTGTACTACACGCTTTGTTCTCTAGTGTATGTGCTTCACATGACAGAACGCACTCACTCTATTTTCCGCTGAAGGTGCAAAGAAATGCGATGCGTTCGAAGGCAGAAGCTTTGTCTGGGCAAAGCGATGCCGGGAAGCGATCCCCCCCCGGGTGGGAGGGTGGGTGAAAAAAGACAGAAGCAATGCTTTGCCAAGCATGGATGCTGTGTGTTTCTATGTTAAGCCAAAGGACAGCGTGATGTACATGTAAGACACTACATATAGAAAACACTGCTGATAAAACATAAAAACCCACAGCAAGCGTTCTCTAGTGTATGTGCTTCACATGACAGAACGCACTCACTCTATTTTCCGCTGAAGGTGCAAAGAAATGCGATGCGTTCGAAGGCAGAAGCTTTGTCTGGGCAAAGCGATGCCGGGAAGCGATCCCCCCCTCTCTAGTACGCAGTTCTTGCACCTCTCACTGTAAGCCCCCCACCGCGCGAGGTGGAGGACTGTGTACCTGCGGGCACGAGGCGTGCACACAAGAAGGTAGTCAGAACAGGAAAGGCACGCAGTGCAGAAGTCTTTTTTTCCTTTACCTCGCGACAAGGTAGATTGAGAGGCTCAGCGGAGCGTGGCTGTCTGGGCCTTGCGAAGGCAAGGAGGCCAGTTTTTGGATGGGTCATGCAGCGTGACGCAATGCGATGCTGAGGCCAGTTGCGCGAGGCTCACACGTACACGCTCTGCTGAGCGATGTGAGAGAAAGTTGAGGCGGCCTCTGCTTAGTCTGTCGGCCCAGACGTTTTTCTCGCCAGCGAGGTGTTCAACCTCGAACTGAACGCGGTGCAGATGTGCCCAAGTGGCTGCAAGGCGAAGGAAAGTGCCAAGAGGCTCCGCAGTGCTGAAGAGCTTGTTCAGGCCGCTTTCGGCACTCGTGTTGTCCGAAGCAGTGGGCAACACGAAACGAACGTGCTTGCTGCGTAGCTCCTGCCAGGAGCACTGTGCGAGGCCAAGCTGTGCAAGAGTCTCAAAGCAACCTATGTAGGGCTGCATCGACCCATGTAGCTGAGGCCACTGTGCTCTAACTTCGTCAGCAGAGAAGATCTCGCTAAACCAGACGAAAGCGGTGGAGGTGCTGAGCCAGCCGCCAATGCCCATCTTGTCTGTGTCAGCGAAAGCATCCGCCGCACTGTAGCAATGCATGCGCGGAGCATTGCGAAGCGATCGCGGCTGCTCGTGGGCAAAGCAAAGGCTGAGCCATGCGAGCACGAATTTGCTCTCCTGTCGCAGGTGTATTTCCGAGCGATGCGGATCAGCGAGGCGTACCCACTGATGCTTGTGTGAGGGCGGCACAAGAGGCACGTCTTTCTTGGTGTGTACCTTGATGCTGCCCACTTCAAGAAGCTGGGCCTGGCGGGGCAGCCACGTGCCAGCTGGAGTGCGCGTGAGCTTGGCATGTTCGTCAAGGGCGTCATAAAAATGATGCCACATGGAAGGTGCTATGCTGTGCAGAGTGCCCTTGGCACTATGGAGGTCTTTGTAGAGCGGTGCCATGCAAGGGCGGAGATGTTTGCTGAGAGTGGTGGCCCAGTTAAGCAACCCCAGCACACCTTCGAGTGCCTTGCGAGGCACCTTGCTTTGCTGCCTGAGTTCTGCCAGTTGCTCACGGAGTTTGGCCAGCTTGGCTTCCCTGAGCTCGACTGTTTCTGTGCGGAGGCAGAAACGCCAGCCGCACCAGATTACTTCACGCGAGAACTGTGCTTTTTTCCAGCTAATGGGCGCATGCAGGGCGGCGAGTAGCGCAACAATGAGCGATGCGGCCTCTTTGGAGCGATGCTGGTGCAGGAAAGCCAGCAGATCATCCACGTACAGCCAGGCACGGTGCGGGTGGCCACAGAGCAGTGCGTGCATGCAGCGCAG